GTCGCAGCTTCAGTATCTGCTTTTTATACTCTTCACTGAAAAGTAAGTTTGTTTAAGGTACAAAGCTGTTGGCATGTATGTTTGTAACACCCATGAGCAGCGATTGTAGACCCCCGGTTAGGCCTTAATACTCGTATGTAAAGCTAAAAAAAGCCCCAACAATCAATCTGACGAAGTAGAACTAGTATAGCCTTTCACCCTTAGAAGCAGGCATTCATAGTAAAGTTGTCATAAAATCTATTATTATTATTATTATTATTATTATTTAATGAAGATAAATGATACAATAAAACGAGAAACTGTTTTCTTAGGGTTAATGATGTACCTAATACGGACACAGAACAGGATAGAGAGGAGGAAAGAGTATAGAGTGAGCACTAAGAGTTTCGGCGTTCATTGGTTTTGTTTCATTTTTTTAGTGTTTCACTTTTTGCTCTCTTCTTGTTCGATTGCTGTTGTTGTTGTTTTATTTGCGTGCTTTATTGATCTTGCAACATTTGCATGTTTGCTCTTTGAGTACGAACGTGTCTCTGTGTTGGTGTGTGTGTACAGTTACAGCTGGCAGCAGTGGCTACTTGTGTTGTTGTTGTAGTTGTCATTTGTTGTTGCTGTTTCTGCATTGGGAACCCTCCTCCCTCCACCCCACCATTTGTTGTATTTGGCTACATTGGTCAAGTGTTGGTTCAGGTACGCGCACATTTTTGTTTTGCTTTTATTTTCTGTGTTTCTGTGTTTATTTATCGTGTTTCTGCGTCTCTGCTGCTGTGACTGTGCACTGTGTCTATTGCATGATAATTGCACAAACGTGGTACACATGGTGCACAGTGGTGCACACTCAATCACAATGTGATGAGTAAATGCGTGTCGCTACTGATAAGACCAAATTATCAGGCATAAGACGCTGATTAATGCAAACAAACTCTGCTGAACCTCATGATTACGATTGACAAATTGACACAGACAGAATGTATTTCCACTGTTCCAATGAACTTGTAAAAAGTAATCAATGATTGCGAAGGACGACTGATTTGGGAAATTCAGATGCAATTGGATTACCCTCAATGTGAATACTCAAAAAAATGTAGACAAATTTAAAGCAGAAATGAAAATAAATATTCGAATTGTAACTAAGAGATAAGAAAAAGTTGTTAAATAAACGCTTATTTGTTACATAAAATCAAACATACTATTGTAATAAGAGCATAATAAATAATGGTTAAAAATAACTTTTAAAAAATCAGTTGAATATAAAAAGAAGATTGAAAATGGATACAATTTTAAAGCAGAAATGAAAATAAATATTCGAATTGTAACTAAGAGATAAGAAAAAGTTGTTAAATAAACGCTTATTTGTTACATAAAATCAAACATACTATTGTAATAAGAGCATAATAAATAATGGTTAAAAATAACTTTTAAAAAATCAGTTGAAAATAAAAAGAAGATTGAAAATGGATACAAATTTAAAGCAGAAATGAAAATAAATATTCGAATTGTAACTAAGAGATAAGTAAAAGTTGTTAAATAAACGCTTATTTGTTACATAAAATCAAACATACTGTTGTAATAAGAGCATTATAAATAATGGTTAAAAATAACTTTTAAAAAATCAGTTGAAAAGAAAAAGAAGATTGAAAATTGAGCTTTTTAGCTGTTAGGGCCTCTTCTTCTCTTATGCTTCTTTAAAATATTGGTAAATAAATTTAACGAAAGCATCTAAAAGTTGTTAAAACTAATAATGTATTTAATATTACATAAAAGCTTATATAAATTATTAGAAAACTAAATTAATTAATTAATTAATTAATTGGTCTGAAATTAATTAAAATTGCAACAAAATGCATTTCATAGTCCCTATGATTCATATTCAGGTTATTCTTGGGTAAATGAAGATCCTAATACAAATGTTTTCTTCTATTTATTTATATGTATTTGTATAAATAAATGAATATGAACGTACGACCTTCTTTCTTCACTTCTGTGCCTCAAATAATAAGCTTTAGAGTCTCGAATTACACATAAAGTTGAGCAAAATGAAATTTTTTGTTGATAATCGTTGTTAGTCAATGGATGCGGATGTTCTATTATGAAGACTAACAAATGTTTCCTGCAGCTTCTACTTAAAAGAGCAAAACAGGTTACTAGTTCTTGAATGTCTCGAGATGGCACACAAAACCATAAAATTATGTGGGATGTTAATCTGGCTAATAAAATGCGACTACAAATTCCTCATCGTTCCAAAGCCGAAAGTGATTCAGAAACATCGCCCTATTGAAACGCAATAGCACGAGTTCAGTATCTCGGCTATATGGGACAATAAACGAAGTGATAAATGTGTATTTAATTGCATATCATAATGTAAATATTGTATAGTACGCGATCAAATCGCATTCACGTAAGGCAGAAGTACTTAATGCCCAATGCCCAATAGGCGTGTGTGTGCGAGTGTGCGAGTGCGCGAGTTTGCCATCAAAATCCATCAGATAATCTGTCAGTTATGGAGGCGAGCGGACAAGCAGACCGACCGCCAGTCAGTCAATTTGCCAATAACAAGGCATAGCCATACAGCAAACATGGCTATAAAGCACACAAGCACACACAGAGGCTGGCTGACTGGCACAGTCAAGTGCAAAACGCTTAAAAAATAATTCTGTATAACGACAGACAGACAGACAAATAGAGTCGCTGACGAGAACTTGCACAAAATGAAGGCAATCAAAACGACAACACATCGCCGACAATTCGTCGAGTTGCAATTCGAAACCGAAACAGAAATGGCTAACGGCTAACCGATATGGCCAAAAAGGAGAGGGAAAAACGATACCAAGTTCAGCTGTTGAGGCTGTCAAAGTAGCTGAGTAGCTGAGCCAACAGATTGAGAGCCGACAATGTTCTTGGCCATGGTTTGTTTGGCTTTGCACACTGGGCTGGCCAGTTAGGCTGGCTCGGCCACCACCATCGCGTATGCGCAACGTTCCAACGGCCATTGCCTAGAACAACGCCACTAACTAGGCAGCTCTGTCATTGCAACTCTGTATGTGTGTGTGTGTGTGTGTGTGTGTGTGTTTGTGCGACTGACTGTGTGTGTGTTTCCTTGATTTACATGCCCACATCTGTTACTCTGCATGTCTATGCTTGCGTGCCGACTCGTATGCATCTGTATGTGTTGTTTGTTTTAAGTCTCGTTTGCCTTAAGCTTTTAATTTTTTGGCCAAAGACTTGTTTTCGCTTTTTGCAGTTCTTGGATGACCAGTTTTGTGGCAAAAACTCAACTGCACTTGCTGCCGATTTTTATCTTACAGTACGCTATGCATGCTGGTAGCTGTTTTTTTTTAAACACTGTACATATATATTTAATTTATTTTTTATTTTCGGCTTTTGGCCGTCAGGCATTTTTGTAAGTTTAACTTGTTTGCGACTTCTCTTGTTTCGAGGCTTTTTTTTAGCCAATTTGGCCGCTGATATTGACTTTTAGTTCGCTAATTGCATATTTTCTGATCAATTTTTCGCCTTAATTTTCGTATTGAGTGTAAATTGTGCATTTAGAATTTTAAACTAAAAATCTTTATCTTATCGTTGTTTTAAGATGGTTTGTTTATTTAAAAATAAAATGCGAGACTGGCGTAATTATTAAACTGTTGTATCAGACAAACAGCGTGTTCCTTAAAATTTAATAAAAAACTATAACTATTCCGATAGGACGAGAATGAGTGAATCGAAATCGAGAGAATAATTAAAAAACCTCGACATGCCAGCATTATGGGTTTGAATTATCAAATAATATTTTTGAGCAGCGATTAGATCTTTGCATAATTTTGATTCATTTCAGCATTCCAGTAAATATTTAAGTTTAAAGATTTTATTTATTTTATGAATTTGAATGAGTTGAATAATAATGATCAAATAAATATTAGGGATATTTTTCCAATGCTGCCCTTCATTCTGAAATTACATCAAAATCAGTGAATATCCGTTCAGCAGTTGTAATTGTTTTTGTTAATTTTTTGTTTTGTTTATGTTCATATTTTCATAAAGTCGATTCAGAAGAACGTTTTCAAATAAATGATTCCAATATTCGAAGTGTTGAACACACTCCTACCAGTATTTTTGATATATTTCTGAGTCCCAAGAATTTCGTCTACCATTCCATCTACAATTTTCTTTTAAGTGAAGTTCTCCTCCTGTATTTGAAATGTAACGGAACAAAATATAAAAGAAGTTATTGGCGATTCAATTTTAGTGCAATACTACGCCCACAAACTGTACTTCGTTTCGCTTCTGCTATGCGCGCTGATAACAAGGCAGTAGATAACACAATAGAGGAAGTTTTTTTTGATACAGCTTTGTTTTAAAGTTAGTTATTTTGGTAACTAACCGGTAACAGAGTTCAGCGCAGCTGAAACAAGCTTACCAGTATTTGATGCATAAATAATTCGACAGTGGAGAATATCTAATGTTCATTTGTCCGTTTGGCCAGGAGAGAAAAACTTGTTTAATGTTTTATAAAGATGCAGCAATGTCAATTATTAGTTTGCTTATAACAATCACATCTCGGCGCTCATCAAATAAATTCAAAAATATTGCAAACTAGGAAATTAAATTCTGTTCAAATTTATGAGAACGATTTTCTAATGCTTCTTTGACTGACTGCAAAAAAAACGAGAATTTGTTTTTGAAAAATCTTTTTTGTTTACCTATTTTGTATTTTAAAAACGTTTTAAATGAATGCATATTTGCTTAGCAAGTCTAGTATTTATAGTATAAGTTCTATCAGGTGCCTCATGGTATAATGAATTTATCAATACACATGGCTGTCACTGAAATGATTTGTACAACAAAGCAGCTGTCGATGGCCGAGAGATGGACAGACAAGAGTCAGGCAAGCACATCCTTAACGCTTTCTGATTTCATTATAAATGGCCTTTCTGAGCTTCTGTGTTCTCTGCTCACATTTTTAATCCAAATAATTAGTTGTTCAGGAATTATAAAGTTCTACTTACTATTGCTAATTTTAACTCCTTGTGATATTAACATGGATAGCGGCATTCCGCGGTGTGTCATATGTGGTTGTCTCCTTTCTCTGCCACTGCACTGGGCCGTCGCAGCTGCACCATGAAGCTGATGCTGTTGTTGCTGATGTTGTTGTTGTTGTTGCTGTTGTTGGGGCTGGTATTGTTGCTGTTGTTGCTGGTATGGCAGCTGTTGATGTTGTTGTTGGATGTGTTGCTGGTGCTGCCGATGCTGATACTGCTGATGCTGTTGGCGTCTGCCGCGCCTCCAGCTGGCCCAGCCCAGTATATGGTCTCTAGCAGTGCGTCCATATCTCAAGTAATTTTTATCTAAGCCCATAATTTAAGTCTGTGGAAAGGGGAGAACAAAATAAAAAGAAAAAACAAAACGGAATAAATAACAAAGAGACAAAAGTCAAGTGCGTATTAGTTTAGTTATGATTTGTATAACAACTATTTATGGCGGGCAATTAAAAGGTAATTCCTCTAATCTATGTAGCGCTCAAGCGTTTCCTGGGGTCATTGTCTAAGCATCAGTCGAGGGTCGGCTGCTTGAGCGATCATTCTCGCAAGTGCTTGGCCATTAGAATTTCCAGATAGACAAGGCCTATGTTGTGCGAGCAGTATGCAAGCATTCAGAGATATACTTGTAAACGCGACTGAAACAGATTAGAACAATTCAAAAAATAATGGCATTCAAATGTTTGCATTGAGCAAATGTTTAATGGACTATAGGATATGCTGCACTCTATAATTACTGCTACCTACAGAATGGAGTATAAGTTTAGAAACAACACAATTCGCTTGAGCAGCTATTTTATTTTATTGAATATGATTAAATGGCCTTTTCCTTTGCTCCGATTTAATGCCATTTATCACCATTTTAGCAATATTATGTGCAAGCAGCCAGATCACAACCCTTTCCCTTTCATATCCTTGGCGCAGGAGCCTTGCTTGCAGTATTTCCTCATTGCACAAAGCGCAAATGCTCGCAAATTAAAAGTGGCCTTAATTATTTTATGCTCATTAAACGCAGTCTACAATATTTTCTACACTCTTCTCTTCTTCTGCCCATGTGTCTGCCCATGTGACTGCCAAAATGTCGCAAATTAAAACATTGTCTGAGCCGACACGTTGCCGCAGCGCCTCTCAATGACTGCCAAGCGTACATACTCATGTGTATATGTACATACAAATATAGTGTGTCAGACCAGACGCGTCTGAACTTGGCCCAAAGCAGTTGACAATGTTGTGTACATACTCGTATGTGGAAGCTGCGCAATTAAAACAAAGACGCAAAAAATAAATGCCATTAATTGTGTTTAAATAATGCTCTTTTTTTCGTGTTTTACACAATGCTTGTGCCGGCTCAGAAATCGCTCAATTGTAACAGACGCCGAAAACAGACAGGCACAACTTTTTCTTCACTTAACCATACAACTGCTTATATTTACAGTGAAAATTCCTTAAGAGAAATGCTGATACTTCACTTCTTAGCATACAAATTTTTTCATACATTTTTTTGTTCGACTCTTATTTACATTAAAAATCATCAAATTTATTTCGCAGGTCAAAAAATCGCTTCGTTTTTTACGTAATTTCTAAATCTGTAGTTTCTGTCAACTTTCAATTCTTCTTTAATATACTTAGAGCTCTATTATTATACTATATAATATTAATAAACTCCAACAGTCCAACATAAGAAACAAAATACAATACTTTCGTATGTAAAAAAGTTGCATAAGTGGATAAGAAATTAAATAAAAGAAGTAAGTTGTAAATCAGAATGAATAAAAAACAGAAAGAATATGAAAAAAATTAGTTTGTTTTCATTTCAAGTAGAAGCCCATTTTGCTTGGCTGGAGACTTGAGAAATATACATTTTCCTAGCTGCACATTCTTCTGTAAACTTTATTTAAATGAAAAGTCCAATACTATATCCTTTATCTTAAGTACACAAGCTAACTAAAGAAATTCCAACTATTTTCTGAATCCAACAACGTCCCCTAAAACGGTTTCCACTGTGTTTGCAAAAAGTTATGTCAGCTGCATGCTTCAGGTATGGGTTAATTAAAAATTTTTACAATTATTTTGCCCTGAGTGCAGACCGTAGCCATTGACATTATAAATGCATGCTTAAGCACATACTAGTACTACTATAATGCAATCATACATAGAGTATGTGTGTATATGGAACATACTTGTAAATAACAAAAATTTTGAAAGCGCTTCGCAGCAAGTTCGTTGCCTAAGTCTTTTGTTTTCGAGCATGCCTCGGCAGCCGGCAAAAGGCCCAGAAAACGAACGCTTCTAAGCCCAGGAAAGCGTCACGTTGCTAGATTGGCGAGACACGTGCAACAGTCGTTGCAATAAAGTACGGCGGCCCTCCATTTGAAATTGGCGAGCAAGAAAAAAACTGTGCCAGCACGGAAAATGAAAATGCACTCGAGATGGAGCCGACACGTACTCGACACGTACCGAGTGACAAATGTTTTGCATGTGGGCCCGCCACTGACCATTAATCAAGCCCCACACTTGCGGGCTAATAAAAACATTTATTATTGTTTAAATTAATTAATTTTATGGCACGAATTGCTGTGGTTTTGCTTTTGCTTTTGTTTTTGCCTCCGCCTCAGTCTTCTTGGTACACACTCGTACTATAAATTTGCATTCAGAGGGGCATTTATGCACACGTTGCTCGCGGAAATTGTTGTGCGGCGCTTTAGGATTGCCTCTAAAGAGCCAAGTGGCCCCACAGGTGTTGGATACGTTCTGCAGAGGCACACACGTGGCAGCCGTTTAAACATTTCAGCTTCATTTCTAATCGACTTTGATTATGTTGTAATACATGAGCAATCATCATAAAGTGCTGATCGAACATGGAAATAGACGGGCGTAATGAGACAAATGCAAATGAAGACATCAACAAATATGCATAAAGGAGCCTAGTTCTAAGTAGTCAGTAATACGTTTTAATTACAAATTGAAAGCTTCATTAAATTCATTCAAAGTTATGTACAGTCGTTTAATCCTAGTAAAAATTATGACTAATGCTTTGAGGTCAGGTAAAAAAAGTTTCCAGATGCTTATATTTAATGTCGGCATCTTCCTTATATGAGATAAGTTGGTAGTTTAGGCGCGATCTGCAATCTGATCCAAATAGCAACAAGAAAAGAGTAATCTTTCAAAAATATCTGAAAGAAAGTGTGCAGATTCTATGAAATGAATCTGATTTGTAATCAACATTCCTCTCCTAATTCCACACCTATTTCGAACACTTTGTATGAGGAGTATTCCTTCAACTTTCTTAACTTCTCAAAAGTAATATTATTTTAAAGACATTTCTATTCATAATGCATATGCTTTTCAAAATATACGAACTAGAAAAAACTCATTTGACTTGTCGAAATAAAACAGAATAATCGAAAAATTAGCCATGGTAGACTAACTCATTCCGATAATATTCTCTGCCAACACATGTCCATTGCGCTACTCTAAACACTCAATTGAATTCGAAGACATTTTATTCGACTTTCCCAAGCCCTTCAGTGCAAGCTACAATTTTTCCTTCCATAGTGTTAAGGCTCTTAGAACATTGAAGCCGAAGTTCGTATTGTTTTCGTCTTTTTAAACGTTTAGAGTGTTTTACTAAATTTCCCAATAACATACATATATTTTCAGCCAAGACCGAAGTGACCTTTTGACAACACAGTTCTTGATACATTACATAGCTCTCTAACGATGCCTATTCGACCAATATCTATCCATTCAGCCCCAAGGCATTAGCAATCCGCGTGCTATTTAGAAGCGCTAACATTTCATAGACAGCAGCTAAGTATGCGAATTTGTTTGAAAATAAAACACGTTTTTACAATTTTCTGCTTATTTACACGTTGGTTGCGGCCTTTTTCACTTTGTTTCTTCGCTTCTCCGCCGCTCTCAGCCCATTCGATTCGTTTGCTTCTTTGGCATATTATGTAATAAAGCAGCGGTTGGCGCGCTTGCAATTTTTCTTGAGAGACACTCCAAAAGTTTTCTGGCCGCTGCAACGTCGTCGTCGTCGTCGTCGTCGTCGTCTTGGTCGTTTGGACACTCGACACTCGCTTTTTTATAATTATTTTTTTCTTAACTGAAAGTTATGCGAGGTGCTGGTCCGAGTCTCAAATCATTAAAAAATAGCGCAAGCATTTGCGTAAAGAAAGAAATGAATTATTTCAAATTGCCAAATACAAAATCTATTGACCTAAATACGATCGGAGCTCTATAACCAGTCCCCCCTTACACACATACTATATAAGTCTGTGGCACCAGACTTTAGCAGCAGCAGCAGAGTCGCCGCATGTTGCAACGAGCAACTGGACGCACTGTGGCTGAACAGGGAAAGGCTGTGATCAAAATTCAATTGAATTATTTGATTTCGAATGAGTTTTAAGCTTGCAACACCTCTTTACTAAAACTATGGTCGCCCTGCCAATTATTTTGCACGCAACAGTTTTCGAATTTCACAAGTATATGATGAATTCAGTGTTTCTTCAAGTATACCTAAAATCATATCGTCGTTTTGAACTACAACGATCATTTGCAGTACTCTTTTTCAAAGCTTTCTTACGAGTTCTTCTGAGATACTGAGGTACTTTTCTAATCTAAAGTCTTTGCCTTCACACCAAAGCAAAGGTGCTTATAGTTATAACTAAAACGTTCTCCAAATCGACCTAACTCACCAAGCAATTAGCTATCTCCAAAATAAAATAGCTAGCACAAAATTCATTTATGTAAACTGCTAAAATGTTGAGTTCCAAAGTAACACACACCTATATTTGGTTAAAGGCAATACTTGTAAAAAGGGATAATGCTAAAACTATGCAAAGACATAATAAATAAAGCAGAATTTCTTAAAATCTCATTAAATTCTGCAATGATTTTATTTTAAGCCCGTCACACGTACAGATACACATTTAATTTGTCGCTGACTAAGTTAAAGCCGAAAGTGTCTAAACATATAGTACGGGACTCGTATCTAATCATCGCTATCCTCGTCCTCCTCATGTAATGCCTCCAAGCCAGCCTGCACAGCCAGGCTGAGCCACGGTTCCGGATTGATGCAATGCAAGCCTGCAGTATCCTTGCCCACCAGTCCCATCTCAAAGCAGAAACCCTTGTCTTTAGCCTCGTTATGCGCCAGTTGGATGATTCGGCCAGCACTCTGTACCAAATTCTCCAACGGCATATCCACAAACTTGTACTTTTCCATCTCGGTCTTGGCCTGTTGCTCGCCTTTGCCGCTGGCACAGGCAAAGTAGCCGAAGGACTTGCCCGACGGCTCAATTTTGAAGAGCTGCGCCCCAAAGATTTCATCCCAGCCGCCCAATGTAATCGACACCCCGAACGGTCGTGCTGATCCGAATAGAGTATAGGCGTGCATATAGGCCGATATCCGCTCACACATGTGATTCACAGTGATGGGGCTGCCAAACTGCTGGCGATGGTTAGCAGCCTCCTGGCGGGCTATGTCGGCCAGAGCATAGCCATCGGCCGTTAAGCCGGCAACTGCCATGCCAATGTTCGTGTCGACGGTGAAGATACGTCTGCCGGAGTCGTTCTCAAACAACGGACTATTTACGAGTTTCTCCACAGCGAGCACAACGCCATCCCCTCCCCGTAAACCAATTGAGGTGCCACTTCTCTCCACAGCTTTGGCGGCATATTCGACTTGAAAGACACGCCCCTCTGGCGAGAATTGCGATGCCGATAAATCGTAGCCGTTGCTCATGGTTTTGTGTGCCCTTGGACTTTGAAAAAAATATAACTGTAAACGAATTTCTGTCGAGTGCAAAGCTAAATGATTAGCTGACAACTTTTGAGGAGCTTCATAGATGAGAACAGTTCGCTTGGAGCCGTATACTGAAGTGGAGAAGTGGAAAGAGCGAATCCTATTTGTCCACCTATAAACAGATCCTCCTCCGGTTTTTATGAAGTTTTTCTGTCAAGCTTTCATTTTTAAAATCGGGGCTGGTTCTAAATGAAGACTAACTATTTAGGTATTTTAATTTTAGCTTGTTTTCTTCTATATTTTATTGCCATATTTTTTTTATCTCCACTTCTTTTTTGATAGGTCTAATGGCGTATCTGACTACTCTCTGCTGTGAATCGGGGCATAGCTGGCCGTTTGGCAAATAAAATTCCCCCATTCATATTTATATGATTTTTCATTTCCTTAGTTTAACTTAGTTTAAGTTCTCTATTGTATTGATTTTTTTTAATGGACATTGTTCACATAAATAAATAAATGAATAAATAAATGACTGCATTGCTTGTCGATGAAATAAATAAGGTGGCCAATGGTAGGGTTTTGTTTCGGTCATGCGATTGCATTTCTGTTCCACTGTGCAATGTGAGCGCAGCCTGTCTGGATTTCTTTCACTGCAACTCGAAAAAAGGCAAAAACGAAAAAGAGTCGCAGGCACAGCTGATGTGCCACAACTGGGACTGGCCAGCCACATTGGATTGGTAACACATTCGATTGCAGCAGCCACGCGCAATCGAGCAAGTGGATAATGGGGCAGCGGAACAGTGGGACAGCGGGACAGCGGAACAGCGGGGCAGTGGGCCAGTCAGGCAGTGGCTGAGTAGCTGAATCAGGCAATCGAGTCGGTGGAATCAGAAGCAGGTTGGTAGGTTGGTGCACGATCACTTTTGCTTTGCTTTTGAGGCTCGTTGGCATTTGCCAAAAGAAATCCCCATTGTTGCATCTGTTTTGTAAAGCTGCAACAGCAACACCACAGCAACCACAACAACAACAATTGCAGTCTGTGTGCATTTCAAAGCATCGCATGAGTCAAATATTAGTGCTGCTTTTATTTGTTGTTGTTTTGCCGCACAGTAGCGAGCACTTTATGTTCAGATTGTTGTTACTTTTTTTGTTTGCCAGCCTCCACATTTGTTTGTTTTGGTTTTTTTATGTTTTGTGCATTTTACAGGCTTGTTGCTTTGTTGTTGTTGTCTCTGCGCTCTCCTCTTTATAAATAATTTCACACACCGCCTTACAGTAGTGCGAAGGTCACGCGCCACTTTTCTCTTTTTTCTCAGTTCACTTTTTTTTCATCAGACCGCCAGCTGTTCCCTCCAATATCCAGTTTCGGCGTGGCAAGTTTTGAGCTTTATGGGCAGGTATGTAGTATGTGCCTTTCCGATTATAAATTTCGCTTTAAATTGCTCGCAACAGTTTCTGTAGTTTCGCATATTTTGGCGCTTTTAACTTATTATTTTATGCAGATAAAATTTCAATTTTTTGCTCCTTTGCTGATTACAGGCTGCCGTTAAATGGCTTCATAAGTCCAGCTCGATTTTCAATGCCGAAGATGGAGCATTTCGTAATTGAGACTTGGTACGCGTTGATTCGAAAATTGTATGCAATTATTGCAATTGATTGCAATGGCAGTATCGGAAGAGTCCAATAAAAAGTTCGTTCATCTCTCATCTCCCAGAAGGGACATTGCTGGCATTGACACGCCCTTCTGCGGAAGTGGCAGTGCCTGTGCATTGAACTTTGCGGCACATTCAAGTCTAATTGCAGGTCTCCTACTCCACCACCTGCCCTCAAGAGTCGAGCCTTTAAAGCATAAGCGTTACAGTTAAAGAGCCACTTGGGGCAATTTCTTTTTTTGTTTTTTTGTTTTAACGCTCATTGGCCAGCACGCAAGCCCCGCCACCACTTTCGTATCATCTGAGCTATGTAAAGCGTTTTGTTCAACTCAATTATGGCAACGCGTAGCGCGTCTCAGCCGAAGCGCAACAAATGATTCTAAAAATAGCGCGCCAGCAACGCAAACGCAAACGAAAGCAAAATCAAAAGCAAAGGCAACAACGTTTAATGTTAAACAATTTAAATGGCATTAAGTAATTCAACATTCAACTTGAAACAGCTGTTGGCATCGAAATCGAAAGTTGCGCAATCGCCAATGCTGCACTTACTCGTATGCAATGCAAATCAAAAGACTTGGGCAACGAACTTGACGACTAGGAATTCGTTTATAGAACCTTAAGATCAATATTGTAAGCAATTCAGAGTGTCTGCTGAATGGATAAAACGGGCCAGTAATTGAATTAAGATTGTTTTCAACGAATTAAAAAAACACAAGTGCGGAAATGTGCGCAATTAAAAGACAGATGCAATTAAATGCAATTATATATATCGACTCGTCTTGTTGTCCTGATCAATAATATATATAATTTGTGGGGTCTGCCATGCCTCCTTCTGTGTGTTACATACAAGTACGTTCGCTTAAAAGTTGCATAGCCTTTCACCCTTTGGGTACAGGCTATAAAAATGATGATCACTAATTGCTTTTATTTAAATTGCATTTATATTATATAACGTTTATTGTTATTACTTATTATAAGAATTTGTTTGCAATCAACCATACCTAGTACCAAGTTATATGCAATTTTCCCATTGGTGTCACTTGGCCACATGTTTCACGCCACTCTGACCCACACACAATAACCGCTAATTGTCCAAAACTAAATGCGTCTAAGTTTTGGGCAAGTCATGCTGCAGCATGAAGTGGTTCCACAATTCTCAGTAATTTACTGGTAAGTATAGCCAAGTAGCAACGGTAGCTGGTTTGGCGATTTGCCACGCTTTTTGGACTGACCGCCTACCCCTCAAGCCCAGCATTTGTGTCTGTGCCACATGCGCGTATCTTCTTCGGCGGCGTCTCTGCCGTGGCCAATCGTTGAAGCGTGGCTGTTGCCTCGAAGCTGAAGCTGAAGCCGAAGCCGAAGTCGCCGAGTTGTTGAATTATTGGCAAACATTTTCCAATAGTGGTGGCAGTGGAAACAGCAGCAGCTCTTCGAGTGTAGTCAGTTTTGTAATTTATACTTATATTAGACGTTTTTGCCATTCGGCTTACTTTACGAGCCATTTTACACGACGAGCCGCAGACGAGGCTGCCACTGGGGCTTTGTAACACATTTTGTTAAATGCTCTAATTACGCTGCAGAATGCTCAGCTCAGCTCGGCTCAGCTCGGCTCTGTTTTTCTGCGGCTCTTTGGGTTTTTTGGTCAAATGGCCTGAGGTTATGGTGCGGTCGCTTTAACGCTTTCAATAAAAATTTATGCGTTTCGAACTGGCCACAAAATTTGCGACATAAATCCTTTTTGCGATTTGAGTTTATTTATATAATAACTTTAGGCAGTTTCCAACTGACAGCTGACGCGACAAGGTCGTTCAGCTAAAGCTAAAGTTGAAACTGAGTTGAAACTGAAACTGAAACTGAACTGAGGCTTCAATGAAGCATTAAGTCCTGACCTAAGTCACGACAATCAACTCGATGTCGACGAGTGCCGCACATAAAAACCAATTTGTTTTCTAATGAAAGGCTGTCACACCGGCCGATTGATAGTCTTTTACATATCCACCTATACACAGTGCTAGCTCGATAGATCGGACACTAGATAAGTCGCATAATATAATTCTTCAAAAATAATAATTGAGCTCAGTTGAAGACCTATTGACGGAACCATTAGGCTTTCGAAATCAAAAATGTTGCCTTTCGAAGATAAGTGGCATATCGATGATATACCTCGTATACTTGACATATGTGGCAGTGGCAGTTTTCAACGCTTTAATATAGACATGTCCGCCTGTCCGTCCATAAGTTACCATCGAACCGATCTATCTAATATACCTGAAGCTGCATTCAAATCGAGTGTTTGCTTACAAGTAGCTACTATTGGGAGAGTTAAAAGCCATTTTCTTTTGTTATTAAAAGAAACTTCTGAATGAGAACTTTTTCATCGGAATGATGCATTTATTTGTAATTTATTTCTAACACTCACTGTTCAAGCTACCGAGGTTTTGCTGTACCTATCCAGTCAAACGAATAATCGCACACAAAACATACTCGTAGTTCGCGCTTATCAATGAGCAAATCAATTTGTTATTAAAAAGCATGGCATATTATGTAAAAGACGCTGATCTATTGGCCAAATCGGCCATATACACACATATAGTATGTTCATGTTATTAGCAAATGAGCCCTGGGCTACAACAACAATAACAACAACAAAAGCAGCATGTGGCAAATCACAAGCTTATGTCAATATATTAATTTAACAGTTAGGAAAAAAAAACCAAAATGAAAATACAAAAAACAAAGACCAACACTTAAGATAAAACAAAAACGAATATATTGTTACGTTATTGTTGTTGTTGTTGTTGTCTGTAGCGGTTTCTCGACATCTATTGCACTTAAACACTTTGCAGCTTGCGGTTAATTAAGACGACTTCTGTGCCTGCGCGGCCAATTGAGTTAATTTTGCTGGGCAGGGGGGTGTGTAAGGGATTTGTGTAAAGTGTAAGTGGCTGGGGGCCGGACAACCTGAAAATTGTTTACGACGTCGGCAGATGAAAGTGAAATTAGCCACACATTGGAATTTGAAGAAGATGATGAAGGAGGGGAGCAGAAGATTTTGTTACGTCAAGCTGGCTACTTAACATGCAAATATTTTATTGGTTTAGCATTTGCGAAAGAATGGGCTTCAACAGAATTTTTGTTTAATTCCCACAAATGTTCTCAAACAAACAATAAAACGCGGATTTGTCTGTCTGAATCTGAACAAATATACAAAAGTATATGCATATAGTATATGATTTCTTTTCCCATTTTCAATCTCTCGATTCTGTTCAATTGTTTAATTAAGAGATTTAAAAAAGTTCAACAACTAAATTAAAAAAATTTGTTAACCTCCTGTAATCTTAACTCTGGCTTTCTTATGTTCAATTAAGCCTAAAAAAGTTTTAAATGTTTTAATTAAAAAATTAAACATATGAGATAAGATATTTTACAAAAATGCAGAAAACTCTCTGCATGTACATAGAAACTGGCGTCTTTGTACAAAGCAAAAACAATATTTGCTTTAGTAGATCACATTCCAGTTATGAGCACATTTTAAATAATTCAAAAAGAAACCGCCTTCAATGTGACACAGCAGTGTTTAATTTCAAATCTCACGCTCGCGAATTCTTACAACGTGTTTACTATTCTTCATTATTTGTGTTCAAAACATAATCATTCAATGTATGTGCCATACACACACACACACAGTTACACACGTACACACCTCTGTTTGTTTTGGCGGCTGGGGCGAAATTCTTTGGCCCGGAAAGCTGTGATTCGTGCGTTGAACCACAACAAAGCCCGCAATTGAATTCGACATTTGGCTCTAAACCTTCAACTCACTTGCGCTTTCAACACACACTCCCAAAAAATAAAAAAACTGAAATACTTCTTGCCATTTGGGGCTGTTGGGTTTTTAATTTCACACTTTTTTTTTAACATTTACACGCAGTTTTATTTCCGTCCTGACATTGACTTACATACTGGTCGTATTACTCGAGCTTTCTACATGTTTTTTTTTTGCTTTGTAACGAACAAGAGTTGAAGAGTTAATAAAAAAAAAGTAAATGATATTAAATTGACATTGAAAATGTTTGGACTTCCCACTTTAATTTCTCACTGCCATTTCTAATAGCTTTGCAAACAGAAGGAAGAAACCTTTGTATTCATATTTAATGAGACCTTTTGGCATTCGCCCCTTTCCCCCTTTCTACCCCTTTTGGGCGAGGTGGCTAGTTGTTGAGTGTTTTTTATGAAGCTGCTAATTTCATTTAAACGGCCGCTGTTCTAGACATGAGTACTCTACTATAAAGCTCTGGATGAGGCAATGTATTTGCACATACTCGCATAGTACAGATAGTAAGTATGGCACCCATCTTTCACCTTAGCATTGACCCGACCTTTGGGTAAACGCATTCGATCTGAATGTAGGTCAGTTTCAATCAAGGGGGAAATCGCTACGTGTCTGACGCTTGCATATTTGCACAACAACGCAAAATCGAAAACAAACATGAAAAAAGCAAAAACTATATACAAAATATTCAAAAGAGAGATATAGTATAGTATGTCGATATGTATGTATGTATGTATATAGTATACATATGTGCATATGTGTTTAAGAAATGACCACACATAACGATGTTAGTCCGTCTTAGTGGCCAAGCATTTGCATAACATTTTGTGGCAGTCGCTAAATGTTTACATTTAATTGCAGTTTGAGCGTCCAAAGAGATTTCAAACTCAAAAATATGCATGTATTCGTATTTATGTTTATGTTTTGGCCAGCACGCGAGCCTCGGCTTTATAAATAGTTAACAAACTAATACATAACGCGCTCTAACACGCTTTAAATAGAGTCTCAGCTGCGATCAATCAAACTCACATTTGTAAAAGCAAACAATTTATAAGAAGAATATTATATAGAAAAGTAAAGCAACCCTTTTGCGGCTAAGCCCATCTGATAGCACGTTTCGATTATAAATAGTCCGAGCTTTGATTAATTTTAATCAGTTTCTCATTGAAATAAAACGCAAATATGTGTCTGAGTTTTGCCACTTGGAAATCAAAGCAGAATATTTAACAGATAAACATTGCAATATGTTGAATAATACTTATTATTATTTGCAAATTGCTTCATTATTGTTTGATAAATATACTTTAAATTGTGCTTGTTGTAAATACAGCTCTTTCATATTTTTCCATTTCAATCAATCAATCAAAAATATTAGGATTTATTGAGATTATCATGAAAATGAAGTATGTGCCTGTTTTGAATCCTATAATTTTCTCTTATTTTCCTCTTTTGATCTGAATTACATTATATTATATATATATATATATACTATATATATATATATATTATATATACTATATATATATATAGATTATATATATATAATATAATATATAGATATATATATAACTATGATTATTCATATATATATATATATCTATACTCTCACTATCATCTATCTATATCATAATCTTATATATCTATTATATATCACGATATATATATCTATATACTTAGTATTTTAAAAAATTTTAAATTGAAAACTATGCTTTTATATGAAAAAGTACTCAAACCCATTGGATTAATGTTAAAAGGGATTGATCTAGATTTATCACAGTTCGATCATTTTTTCATTAATTTTTTTTTCATGTTTTTCCTTATTTAAAATCTTTTCTGCTTGTAATTAGGCAATAAAAATATGTAATATACACTTTGACATAAAATTGAATGCAATAAAGAAAACATGAACTGCTTTCATTTAAGATCGTATGTTAATCTAACATTTTGATTTAGATGAAATTCGATTTAAGCAATTTTTAAAATGTTACTTTAGCCATTTGTTTTATGTTTATAAGTAAACAAATGTGATTAATTAAAATTTTTGAGAGAAATTAAAAAATCATTAGATTTTAAATATATTTCAATATTTAACAGTATTACAATTAGAATCTTACTAATAGACAAATGTTTATTTAAATTTTTATGTTTTATAATCTTATTCCTGTTCTCTTTTCGATTGTTTTAGGGTTGTGTCTGCGAGCTGAAATCATTTTCTGTTTACTAACGTTATTTTATCGGACTTCTTATAAATGCTTTCTTAAACTTCTGCTAAACAATTGGAATCATGATTAATAAAATAAAATACATTCAATTAAAATGTTATTTAAGCAACAAGAAAATGCTAGAGAGCTATAAATTATCTGTATCGTTCATTGTTATATAAATAAGTCATTTGCCAAATTATGCAAATTTACTATTAGGGTCGGTATTTAAAATTTAATTCAAATTGAACTCAAACACAGGCTTACAATTTAAAATGCATTTTCATGAAAATCATTTGTTCATTTTTAAAATTTATGTAAATAATTGAGCAGTAATAAATTTTAATAAATAACATTTTAATTAAGAAAGCATTTTAGGTTGAATGACTTGATATTTTTAAAAACGCATATTACTAAAAAGGAAATATTTTATGTTATAACTGATTGCTAGTCACAACTTAAATTTCATTTTAGCAAAAATGTATATTCATTTGTGAAAATGTATTTCACTTATGCAATTCACTCACAATATTTTCTTTAGGCCAATCAAACACATTTCTACTCACATGCAATGGAAATTCTGGCACACTGCCTCTTTATTCCGAATCCAGTGGAAGAGGAGGGGAAATTCAGTTTTGGAGGGGAAGTAATTGGGAGTGTTGCTGCCGATTTAAGTTGTGGGTTAAGTTGCTGTTTTTAGTTTTGTGCTAGCAACTAAGCCGCATATTTAGTTTTAATATTTGTCTGTGTACTATGTATGTATATTTGTTAAAAAATGCGTTAACTTGGCACTCTTGCACATATCCTGCTACGCACTGCTCACATATTACCAAACGATTTGCGAATTAATTAATGTACATATAATTAATTGGGTTGGCGTGTTTTTTAAACTGCATACAATCGCGATCACCAATGGAAGTAAGAAACCCGCGCGCACGCTGCCGAGCATGTGTCGTTTTTTGAAGTTGACGCGTCGAAATGAAAAGCTCGCATGAATGGACCGCCGTACTAGCAAGACGTTTTTGTATGAAGCAAAGCATCGAAGACTTAAGTCGGCGGCGGCGACTACGACGCTGGCAGCGACAACGACAGCGACAGCAACGGCAGCCGCAGCAGCCGCAGCAGCAGCCGACAAGCCGCCGACTAAGCATGCAGCTTAAGCGGCGGCGCCGAGCGTGCATGTAACAGTGTGTGCGTGTGTGCCAATATTAGCTTGTTATTTATGTGTGTGTGTGTGTGTTTGAGTGGCGCTTACTGCAATCCTCGCTGCTGACGTCGGCAGCACTATAAATTTGGCAATTTGTAGTAAAGCGCCTGCGCAGCTGATCTGTCATCGCCGTCGACTTCATTCTCAGCGACGTGGTGAGTTTCGCGCTATGTTGGGTTTTCCTTAAACGATTGTCATTCATTTCCAAAGCAGTGCTGCTTTGCATAGGGGACTTTTTTTTTCAACTTCGTGCCTTACTCGTTTTTCTGAATCACTGCTTTTGCTTGTCATTGTGATTGTTGTTGTTTTATTTAACTGTTGCCGGCAATTCTAGTTGCTGCTTTACATTTAGTCGCTGCCGCTTTTAGGTAAACAACTCTCGACTGCGGGCAGCGACGCATTGCTTCCGTTGTTGTTAATTATTATTGGCTTATCTAAAGTACACTTGGGGTTTTTTCGAAGGATATTTCCAGCCAAGTGGAAGGCTAGCATTGCCACTGCCACTACCACCGACCAATCAGTATGAATCAGCATCCAGAATGTTCCTGCCTCTTACTTTTCCGCTGCAGTCCGGTGGCACAAAATTTACCCCAAGGTTGCTGTAACGGGCTTTGAGGGAATTCACTAGGATGTGGTCTCTTCAATTTTAAAAAGCATGCAATTTTCGACTTCAGTAAAGGCCATCAGATCAATATCGAAGCCATAAAGTTCCATGTTTTCTTTTTTAATGACTTTTAGGAAAAGTTTTAACCGTTTATCAAAAATGCTTATTCGAAGGCAGAGAACTAAAATTGGCAAAAATTAAAATGTATTTATTTATTTTTTATTAAAAATTTCCTTCCTATACGAGTATATTTTTAGGGTCCAATTCTCCAAGGGATTTTAATCGTAATTAATTGTTTTTTCACTCATATTTTTAGATTTAAAAAATTTCTCTCGCGGCTAATGAGAGAAAAACATTTAGGCTTCTGAGTACCCTAAATTTATCGAAAAGCCTAAATAAAACAAAGAGTACAAAGAAAATACTAAAATCTAAAAATTGACTTTGCTTACAAAACAAATTAAGCGACTAACATATCAGGTGCTCGACCTGATAAATATGTATATTCAATATACAATTAGAGATCGCTTTTCTCAAGTATTGGAGTCGCAATTAATTATTATTGTCATTTTGTTCGATTTTTAAGTTATTTTAAACTTGTTTTTGAACAAATATATAATTATATTAATTGGTCCGTAAATTAATAGACGAATAATTAATTTAATAAACAAATTCTTATCATAATTAGATAAGTTTAAATAAATCTGCTTAGTGGAAAACAAGAATTCCACGATGTGTTATGCCAAATTTGTGGGTCGATTTCCCAGCATATTAAAAATAAAAAATAAATAAAGAATAATAAAAGAAAGCATCGATTCAATTGTCGCTCCAATTCGTTTCACCCCGCAATTGAATTAATCGAACATTACAAATGCAGTATATTTTGCAGCTGTTTAACCCACTCTTAACCCAGTTTGAGTTCTCATTAAATATGCTCATGCATTACAATATTACAATATTGAAATGAAAATATTTGCGCAACAATTTCAGTTAAATTTAATTTTTAAACTCGGCTTGCGAAGGGCAGACTGTGGTTGTTGCGAAAAGCTGCCCGCAATGCAGACAACCGAAGAAGTACTAGCAATAACAATAACAACAACAACAGCAACAGCAACAATAACACAGCAGCTACTTTAAGCTAAAGCGGAAAATTTTCCAAGCTCAAACAGCACAGACGCAATTGTTTTTATTAGCTATTAGCAGTTGCTAACTAGCCAAACAAAATAGTCAGTCGGCCAGTTAGCCAACCAGTCAGCCATAGCCTCCATGCAGGGTTCAATAAAAATCAATGAACAGATCGAGAATTACGCACAGTATAGTATTGTTTTGTTTTGCTTCGTTTTCTTAATGGATAGTACTACTTATTTTACAGCAGGTCGGTGCTTTGGACATTTTAATTACTGCTTCTCCATATCACTTATAGAGACAGGCTTGACAACAGCAACAAGAACAACAACGACGACCGAAATCGAAAACAATTTGAAATTATTCTTGACGTCAGTTTCCTTTTTAATTGCACTTAACACCGATCGCTCCACATTCGAGTGGAAATATTGTGGAAATATTGTGGCGAAGCAAATTCTAGAACGTCAGAAATGCATAATTATAAAGCGTTTACGGGTCTGACTAGAATTACGTTTGTTATGAGGAATTGACAATAATAATAAATACACTGCAAAGAACAATATTATTAGAAAGACTAGTTAATGCCAATATAATCGAAATGTAACATTATCAGTTGAAGTTCGCCACTGCATGATTAGTGAGTCCCCAAGCAAATGTATAATTTAGAAGCTAATTTTTATTCATTTTCAATACGTGTTCTAATTTAATTTCAATTGAAAGAAAAGTGTAATTTATAACTTTAACTATTTTACATCAAAAGCATTGAGATTTCAAAGCAAATATTGCATGATTTGCGTTCTGTTGGAAATCACATAATTACATATTGTGAAAGTATTGGATAGTATATATCTGCAGACGATAATTAATGTTTTTATAAATATTCACGACAATAACCCCAAACATTTGGGTTCATCGACTGATATATATACAATTTGAGTTTTATCGCCTGATCAAAGTCTGATCGAAAACTTGCATTTTAAATAACTCATAGAAACCAACTTTAGCCGAAATATCTTTGGATTTTGATTGTTGGTCATTTGGTTGTAACTTGGCTATAAGAGACAATTGGAAAAATACTTTAAAGTATCTGTTTTAAGATGTGCTTCAAAGAAACTTTTAATAATAAATAATAATAAATAAGAAAAAGTCTTCTATTATGTGGTCCACCTGTGGTTTGCCTTTTTAATAATCTTAATCTGTTAATGGTTTATTTTTAAAAATATGTGGACCTTCTGCATTGTATAATTTGTTGTTGCCTTAGTTGAAATCTAAGAACGTAACACTACATATATATATATTGTATGTCCATGTCCCGTTTAACACGATTTTGTAAAACACGAGCTAAGCGAGTTAAGTTTAAAAAACAACAAACACGGATCATATCTTCTCTGTGTATTTAAAGTTTGTTCAATAGCAACTAACTTACGCGGAATGTAAGTATTTTTCCTAAGACAACTTACAATACTTAGTATACAAGTTGTGTGTCTAGTAGGTTATAAAATCTTAATTTATGGTCTTGTCTGGGAATCGCTGACCTGTTTAGCATATTATGCGACGCATGTGGAGATGCATATGCTTATGAGGGGACTCTCTAGTTCTTTGCTCTAAAGACTACTATATTGGAGGCATTTAGTGGGCGACCTTCGCAACTTGAAAATTGCATGGAGGCTTATTTGAATATGCGCATTGTTAAATGAAATACGAGTATTAACGATGTTGTAACTGCATTTGTAATTCATTAAGAGCTTCGCACTCAACATATTAAATAGCATGGCAGGCAATTGATAAAGCGGAAGTAGCCTGTGTTTTGGGAGGAACTATGCCGCATGGCATAGAGAGGCAGTAGCTTTAAACAAATATTTGGGAATAATTTCCAATTCGACCTTTTTGCGATACTTGACAAAGTTCATTGCCAACGTCAAGCCAGCCGTCAAGTGTCAGTCGTCGCCGAAATTCACTCCAAACTTCAAGTGTTTGGAACGGCAAATAATTTAACAAGTGCTGTGCAATCTGCTCAAAGAAACAATCTGCTACAATAAACTTACATAAGCTTCCCAAAAAAAAAAAACAAGGATGCCATTGCACTAAATGCAAAGACCTTAATCTAATAAGCCCGAAGGTTGTCAATGGCTTGACAAGAACGGGTTAATTGCAGTTGTCAAATGACTGCTGAACACACACTTATTTACATTTGACAACAATGTGCGCTAAACTGACACACAAACATACTTACATATGGGCATTTATATAAAAATTAAACTTATATTGTTTATAATTATAATTGCCTGCGGAAAAGGCCACAATGCACATTAAAAAATGTGACTACTTGTACAACTGCCCAACAGCTGTGCCTTTAATGTTCGGCGTGGTGGTCGCGCATGCGTACGACAACAATCGTTGTAAAGAGCCAAACGAAGTGCCACAAGTTCAAGTTTGCGGCATTACGGGCCCGAATGGGTGTTTAGATGAGCGCAGGTTTCATTATTTCTTCTTCCATGCTCACAATCCAATGTTGTTGAAAGTATTACGATAGAACTATTTACTATTTATTTTCACACAAGCAAACAACAACACGTTAGTTGAAAGTTTGAGTTCTGCGAGAACGACTCTTATGCAATCGGTCCAATGACAGCTGAAAGCTTTAAAAATAAAAGCGTTAAAGAACTCGAAGAATTCTAACAGTTCGAATAACTCATATAACTAGCAGCGATTTGTGCACCGATATTTCCTACGGCAGCTGCATTATATAGTGCACCTATAAAAATTAAAGAGAAACGCACTCTTATCACATACACTTGCGCTCTTTAGTAAACCAATTCAATAAAACCAATACCAATACCCAACAATCTTATTTAAACTACTCTTGTTCACTTGTAGTTCTAAGATAAGCATATGTATTTATCTGTGCTGACAGTACAAAATTCTGTCCAAACATTGCAAATCGGAGTTAAAAAGTCAAAAGCTGTCAAAAACAAATTTGTTTTCGGTCATTCAGCGTCAAAATCAATACAAAAACTTAACTGCTAAACACACAACTAAATTGTTAATTGCATGGCAATTCATATTAACCATTTCATGATTGTTTTCACACTTGAATTTGCAGAAGAATAGAGGGAAGAGCTTATCCAAGTTTCATTCAGCATGGAGTTAACGATTTCTGCACTGAGAGACAACGTCTTTCTGAAATCAAAACGTTTTTACTTATTCACGTTTCTTGCTTTCTACAGCTCTGAAGGTGCTTGGTTAGTCGATAAGAAAGTCAACAATATTCTGTCATCTCGTAATATTACCTTAAATTATTAAAGTTCAAGTACATTTGGGTAATACAAGTAAACTAAATATAACTTCGCACTCATTCTTGATTGAACATGGTAATTGATTAAAATGTTAAGTTTATGTTCTTGGCTTGCACTGGTCGGCAAACAAACAGATTTGAATCACTAAATCCATTTGGATTCCAATTTTTGTTTGCCTAAATACTAAATGTAGTATTTCATTTAATACATCGGGAAACCAAAACGGTTATAAATGTAAAATTTAAAGATATATTAACAGAATTATAAGTACAGACATAAATGCGTACTATCGATATTTATGTTAATTCAATCGTGTTAAATATCACTAATGAAGTACCGTTAAATAACAATTGGTTAGTAGATTTTTTAAATATTTTTGAAGATATTTTATTTGCAACACTAATGCATTTATTCAATTCAAAAGTCTTGAAAAAAAATGTTCAAAAAATCATATACTTGTATGCACGTATATAATCGGTAGATATATATATATAACATTTATTTGAGTTTCAGGCCATTTCAATATACTGTAGCTGATAGTGAAAAAAACCGATGCTGCGTTTAAATACCCTCTAGTTGCTTAATTATCCCACAATCCTGATATCACATGAAAATCCCATTTTCAACAGGCAATTACATTTCCAAATTTATTTTCAAACATACTATGAGACCGTGCTTCCACTCCCCCCTCGAAAAGTTTCTTAAAGTAAAAGGTCCTATACAGGAATTTTAGTTCCCTTGTATGTATTTGAAACGGGAAAGGGCTTAGATCCTTCAATTTGATTAACAGACTGCTTCATTAAGTATGAAGTCATTAATTTATGCGCGTAATAACGAAATGAAGAAAGTCTGTTTATTTATTTGTTTTTTAAGCCCTTACCTAATTAGAGGTACGTTCAATCTGAGAAGAGTAAACACAGAATCTAGTGTCAATCAACTTATTCAATGCCCTACCCTTCTTACGTACATGCCCATCGCTTAATTATGTAGATATTTATGTCTCCTCCAAATTATTTAACTTTAGACAACTACTACATACTTGTATTATGAGAATATCGCTAGCAAAACAAACTCTCTGGCAAACACACGACTCCATGAGTTCGTTGATATAACTACGATTCTACCCTGTGCTGTAATTTAAATGGCTGGTTGACTGACTGACTGACTGACTGAAGGGTGTGGCAATAAAGACAAACGTACGAAAACACATGACAAAAATAACAGCAACTATCGGCACAAATCCTTCACATTGAGAGTTGATTCACCTAGACGGTAGATTCGTATGCCTGGAGACTGGGTTTAAAGATCAAACGTCGTGTCGTTCTCTCATTGCCAACAAGCACATCCGATATCCGACAACAACAACAACAACAACAACACATGAAATATGACCTAGCATAAGATATTTAGGTAGAAAACGAAAAATATTCATATACCTGTACTGTACTCGTATATTGCCAAAATGTTATATGAAATGCAATAATTTTTACATATTTCAATTACTCATACGTAAACGGGTTTACAAAACACAGCCGACTTACTTGTATGAGCCATAATTCACAGACGACTGCCTTAGAAGTAGCAACAAAACAACAACAACAACAACAGCAACGGCAACGGCAGTTGGCAGAGAAACGATTATTTGAACTTTTGTTTTCAATTACTGCATGAAGGACAGTGTTTTTTATATTTTTATTCACTGAACTGATGGGCCTCAGCTCGTCTTGGTTCTGCACAAGCAATCTATATATACATACATAAATACATATATATGTATATAAATCTTACAAAAGCTTTGCTAAGGGTGCGAATAATGAAAGCGACGAAATGGAAATAATTACCCGCAGACTTTTATATTAATTTGAATACTTTTTTAATTTAGACAGACAGAATACTTGAAGTATTTGTGGTTACATATTGGTGTGGGTAGCTGTAAATTATTTGTATATTTGAGTTGGTTGGGAACTTAACAAAATATGTTGAAAACATCACTTTTAATTCCAATTAAAGGCTAGAATTCACGGAGTCGGAATTGGTTGTAATTGTTCTGCAAATCCACAAATAAATACGTCGCCGTTCCAAACTCGATTAAAAATTGTAAATATTTAGAAAGAAACGGTTGACAATAAACTAATCATGAAAGGACACAAAATTGTTACATTTATTTTGCCCTTTAAGAGGACAGCTTTCGGAATGGGGATAATTATTAATTGAAGAGGTAAAGTCTATTGCTCTGCTCTCTGTATTGCTGCTTTTCTGCGTTTAAAATATTTGAAAATATTTGTATTTGTTTGATGCTAGAAGTATTAGCTTTTATTTAACACTCAAAAAATCAAATTACATGTTTGAGGTTGTAACTTTTTCACATTTCTGGAGTCTTATTACTTAAAACAAAGACAAGTAGTTATTTGTATGTGTATATTTCTAACTATGTATGTACATATATTACATCAATTAGCGATTACTATTATAAATTACAGCGCTTAAACCATTTCTTGTAGCTTTCACGGTGCGGATAAATTTGTTAATAGAAGGAAATTCGTTCGATCCGCAAACTTGAGCTCTCATAGCTGGGATTGGACTTAAATATCCGATATTATAAAATGGTAAAAGAAAAGTTAATAATCGACTTACCATAAACAATTTATCTGACGGTGAAAACATTTTGTACAATCACCAATTGTTGCCTTTTTCACCTCGTTCGCCATTGTGGTGAGCACAAACATACTCACCTCGGCTGATCTGCGAAAATAGGCATAATTTGTAGCATAATTTTGGGGGAAAAATTATGTTGTGATATACATATGAACAGAACTACAATTTCTTAATTTCTTCTGACTTTTTTCGTTGCAAAAATCATATCTCTTGAACGGATAAAGATATTTTCATCAAACAAACTTAGTTGGAAAGAGAAACTGATAAGCTTTAAATCAAATCATTGCAAATTGTACTGTGATATTTGGAAACTGCACAATATAAGCTCAAAATTAAATTTTGTTGCAGGTATAATGAGAAGATGAAGTATTTGCATAGAGTTAAATTTTTCGTTGTGAGCTAAAAAAAAGGGTCAACTTTGAATGCATATATCTCATTAACTATAGTTCCGATTACTTTAAGAGTAAGATTTTCTTTCATTCATGTTCATGAAATTTTTGATTTTTGCATGCTGTGTTGGCCCAGGGCCCCACAGTGCGTCGAGACGTTAAAATGGATCCAAATAAAACAAATTACTTTAAAATGTTGCCCATTGTTCTGTGAAGCTAATGACAGTATTAACCATACCTCTTTCCGGTTAACTTTAGACCCATTAAATCAGTGCACTTTATCAAATAGCTTGTGACTGTTATAATTGACACATTTTAAATTCCATCGCTGCTTAGTTGGTTGTAATGCAAATACCGACTCAGTATTCTAGAGTACAAATAGTACCTATAGATGACTTAATTACCTTTTTTAACAGCGTGGGTTGAATTGCTATATCACATGTATACAATTTATTGAGCGATTACTTTCCAGCAAGATCTTAGATAAGACAGCAAAGCGGTTTTAAATGGTTCAGAAGCTATTAATATTAAGCAACCAATATCAACAGATGCTCTTCTTTATAATGTTTTATTATATTTATTCTCTATAACTGAAAGGTTCAAGGGTTTATGAGGTTTGTGAAAGTGAAAAATGTAACAGGCCCAATGTATTTGTATTCTTGATCAGCATGACAAGATAAATCGATTAGTCCTGTCCATCTGTCTGTCCGTCCGTATGAACAGCTGGATCTCAGAGACTATAAGAGATAGAGACACCAAATTTTGCACAAAGATGCCTTATGTATGTACGCTCTTCGAGGTTGTTTTTTTATATTTTCCCCCACTTCTCCCCTATGAGGGATTTATGGAAACGCCGTTCGTATAATCACCTATATCTCGGAGACTTTAAAACCTAAGCACACAAAATTGTTGTCCAAGATGCCTTATGTAAATACGAAGAAAATATGTATTTCGAAATTTCCACCCCTCCCCCTACCCTCCACTTAATGAGTAACTTTTCAAAACTTTCGAAATTCTTGAAATTTCGGACTTAAATTTGACAAATACCTCCAGTTATTATGTGTCTGTGAATTTTTATTGTGCTAGGCCGAACTTAAAAAAGGTTATAGCCATTTATATAATCTCTGCCTCACATATGTACATAGTATTTCAAAGTCGCAACACACATGTTTCTTAATGAAATATTTGTAAAATGTAAAAAGGGTTTCATAAAACACACAATTCAGTTTCGAACAATAAAAGCACAACAAACATTTCGTACCACAAATCCCGGTTTCCCTTTCGAGTATCCACCGTAATTGTATATGTATATATGGATGAGGCCACTAGTGATCATTATTTTTAACTTAGCCGACTATTTTAAAATTACACCCAATGTGTTCTAAAGCCACATATAAGGTGGAAGCATGAAGGCTCTCTCGGTTTTTGTTCCATTGGTGTTGGCATCGCTGGTGTTGATTCATCAAAACGTGAATAAAAAGAGTAAACTATATTTTATACATCATAATAAGTTTTGTACTTCCTTCAGAGTGGTGCCTTCTTGAAATTAACGAATCTAGTATGTGAATCCTCAAATCAATCATGGGTCAGATTCGATCACTGTCGCTTAAAGGCGATCAATCGCAACAAAACAGTTGCAAATATAAACGCCACCTTTCTAGCACCAGCCACTGACATCTCGCTAAGATTACAAATACAAAAGAAAGCTAATGGTTACAAGCCATGGTTGTTTGACGTCACAATCGATGCTTGCAAGTTTGTTCGAAATAGGAACAATCCATTTGCTAAAGTAATTTGGAACCTTTTCAGGAACTATTCCACGGCCAACCACACCTGTCCCTATGTGGTAAGTCAAATAATAAGACTTGTACTAATACTTGCAAAATTATTAATCTGTATTTGTTTTTGAAGGGCTTGCAAAGGGTCAAGGACTTCCATCTGACACCAGAAAAGGTGCCCCTTCCACTCCCAACGGGAGAATATGCACTTTTGATGACTTGGACTCTGAACCAGGAAGTGACTTTTGTTACAAATGTATATTTCACATACACGGAGGACTTCTAGGGGAGTAAGGTTGACTTCAACATTATACCTTTTCTAAACATGTTCTGTTCACCTTTTTTGCTAACTTTTATCGAGGAAGTAAATAACCTATTGGCGAAAAGTTCAGTTCCAAGTTGGATCGTTTAATATTCTTAACCTTTTTATAGCCTGTACCCAAAGGATGAATGGCTATATTAGTTTTTTGCGAATGTATGTAACAGAAGATTTTTCATACAAACGTTGGAGCCTGTTTTCCCCCCTTTGGAGCTCGAGTTTTCCAAAATCCCTTCTTAGTGGGCACCTAGACTATAAAAGGATACTTGAGACCAAATTTCAGCTTCCTAGTCTTTACCGTTTGGGCTGTGCGTTGATCACCAATCAGCCAGTCAGTCAGTCAGGACAAACTGTTTTATATATATATAGATTTGTTATTTAAGTATTTGACTTGATTACTTCATTTTAACAGCTTGGGTTTCATTGAAATATCATTTTAATGAGCTATGAGGAAAGTATTGGATATAATACAAATATGATATGATTACAATTTATTGGGCGATTAGTTTCCGACCAGATCGAAGATAGCCCAAAAAAAGTGTTTAATAATAAGCAACGAATATCAACAGAGACTCTTCTGTTCAATGATTTGCACATTGAAATAATAAATAATGAAAAGAGACTTTCCAAACTCTTTACGTTGCCAAAATTGTTGTACGAGTATATGCGGATAATATTAATATTGATATTTTTAAAGAATGTTGGTTACAATTCTTATTTAGAGGTTAGCAATACGTTCGCCCTTTCTTCGTCACTCGACCTGGAACTCCGTAATGACATAATTGTTTGGATTGGAGCTCTTGGGAGCGCCTGGAGTGCCTATTTCAGTCTGTCTCTTGCTCTGTTGAGACGTGTAGTGTACATAAGTGTATCTGATGAACGGTCGATATCGCCCTTAGTCGTCAGAGTCGGATATGTGTTTTTTTCTTTTTAGTATCCACTGTATATATTTGTATATGTACAAGTATGTGCAAATGAATGACTAATGACTAGTAATCAGAACTTGTCATTAACTCAGTCGTTAATTTCATAGCTGAAACCAATTCAATCGTATTGTTCCAAAAGCTCTTATGAAGTAGAAGCATGAAGACTCTCTCGGTTTTTGTTCCATTGCTGTTGGCATGGCTGGTTTTAATTCATCAAAACGTGAATAAAAAGAGTAAACTATATGTTATACATCAATAATTAGTTTTGTACTTCCTTCAGCGTGCTGCCTTCATGAAATTTACGAATCTTGTATGTGAATCCTCAAATCAATCATGGGTCAGATTCGATCACTGTCGCTTAAAGGCGATCAATCGCAACAAAACAGTTGCAAATATAAACGCCACCTTTCTAGCACCAGCCACTGACATCTCGCTAAGATTACAAATACAAAAGAAAGCTAATGGTTACAAGCCATGGTTGTTTGACGTCACAATCGATGCTTGCAAGTTTGTTCGAAGTAGGACCAATCCATTTGCTAAAGTAATTTGGAACCTTTTCAGGAACTATTCCACGGCCAACCACACCTGTCCCTACGTGGTAAGTCAAAGAGTAAGACTTGTACTAATACTTGTAAAATTATTAATCTGTATTTGTTTTTGAAGGGCTTGCAAATTCTCAAGGACTTCCATCTGACACCAGAAAAGGTGCCGATTCTATTCCCAACGGGAGAATATCTACTTTTGATGACTTGGACTCTGAACCAGGAAGTGACTTTTGTTACAAATGTATATTTCACATACACGGAGGACTTCTAGGGGAGTAAGGTTGACTACAACATTATACCTTTTCTAAACATGTTCTGCTTTCAATTTGCACATTAATGTTCACCTTTTTTGTTATCTTTTATCGAGGAAGTAAATAACCTATTGGCGAAAAGTTCAGTTCAAAGTTGGAGCGTTTAATTTTCTTAACCTTTTTATAGCCTGTACGCAAAGGGTGAATGGCTATATTAGTTTTTTGCGAATGTATGTAACGGAAGGAGGCGTGGCAGACCCCACAAAGTTTATATATTATTGATCAGGATGAGAAGACGAGTCGACAACAACAACAACAACAGCTGCCGGCAGAGCTGCAGGCAGCGCATGAGCAGCGATTTTATTTATGGCTATAACTTTCTTCACAATTGACCTATCATGATGAAACTTGGCACCCGGACACATTAGTACTAGCTGGCGGAATAAAAAAAATAATCTTGACCTGCCTAGGACTTAGGGGAACCTCGATACCAACTTTGGTTATTCTACCTCTTGTATTTCCTGAGATCCTTGTGCTCATACAGACAGACGGACGGAAAGACAGACAGACAGACGGACATGGCTATATCGATTCGTCTTGTCATCCTGATCAAAAATATATAGACTTTGTGGGGTCTGCCACGCCTCTTTCTGCCTGTTACATACATTCGCACAAAACTAGTATACCCTTTCACCCTTTGGGTACAGGGTATAATTAAGAGAATTAAAAAAATATTTCTGACCGATTTAACCTCTCTCAGTATTCGAAAACCTAGTATACTCTTGTGCATTTCATGTACAGAGTATACAAATTTAGCGAAATAAAAGGGCTACTGGTATGTAGAGAAGTAACTGACTGGGTAGCCAGCGAGATAAACCACCACTAACACTCTTTTTTAGCTTTACCGTGACTTGAAACACGACACTGGAAAATGTTTATATTTCTCCTTCTGTGTATATCTCTCTCTCTCTCTTCCTATTTAACTTTTCCTCTCCGACTATTTCTGTTTTAAAGTCTTAATTGCATATTCTGCTTTTCTTCTCCGCGATACCTAGTACTTGTATATAGTAGTGCAGGCACCCACTGTAACATCATCATCATTATTTTTTTCATTCAGCAATTATTTTCAAATTAAAAATCTAGTCAAACTTCGGATTAAGTGCGTACTAGAAATGGTTTCGATACTGTCCAAAATTCACCTTTGAAGCGAAAGCAAGCAAATTTCAAAGAATTTTGTGTCATTGTGGGTTAAAAGATTAAACTATAGGTGTACTTGTACATGCATCAAGGTTGGTCTGGAACTGGCACGGAAATAAAAAGCTTATACACACATACAAAATATATATTTCTCTATCTCTCACTATATATTATTATTACCACAGATAATTAGAGTACATTTTTCGCAAATTTACTCTTCCTGCTTTCAAAATATATTTAAAAATTAATAAATCTATAAAAAAAGACCGCTTTAACTCATATGAAGCGTCTCTCGCAGTAGGTTCATGTGCCTGTTGAACTTTTCATTTAGAGAGTATTTGCTGCTCCAATACATTAGTACAGTAATTAATTTGTCTGATATTCGACAATTATTTTCAAACTAAAAATCAATTGAATGGTATTTAAGGAAAACGTTTCAGAATATTTCATGCTTTCAATAAAACACTTGTGAAACGGAAACATGAAAGTTTTAACAATTATTGTACCATTGCTGGCTTCGCTGGTGTTAATTCACCAAAACGTGAATAAAAAACAAGAGAGAACGCTACAGTCGAGCAAGCCCGACAGTGTAATACCCTGTACCCAGATAAACTTCCGTCACTGAGTTATATGCGCCCAAAGCAGCAGCAAAAAGAGGAAGAAGAAGAGCGAACTTGTTGCTGCAGTTTGGGAGGTTGTACTGGCGAGAATTTGTTTCGCTAATAACTTTTCTTAGAATTGACCGAATTGAATAAAATTTTGAACAACAGTAGACAATTATATATAAATTATGTGTGCAAAGTTTGGTTTAGGTAGCATTTGAAATGTGGACGCTATTGACGAAATTCTGTAGCGGGGGAAGGGGGGGAAAATTCCAAAAAATAAAATAAACTCGTCCTTTCTCGGACCTAGGAGAATCTGGATGCCAACTTTGGTTATTCTAGCTTTTATAGTTTCTGAGATCCTCGGTCTGGATGAACGCAGACGGACGGACGGACATGTCTAGATCGATTTCTCTCGTCATGCTGATCAAGAATATATATACTTTATGGGGTCGGAGATGCTTCCTTCTGCATGTTACATACTTTGCACAAACCTAATATACCCTTTTTACCCTACGGGTACAGGGTATAAAAAAAAAATCTCTTTTATAACTCATATAGATTTTTTTACTTTCTTCAGGGTGCAGCCTTCTTGAAATTTACAAATGCAGTTTGCGAATCCTCCAATCAATCGTGGGTCAGATTCGATCACTGCCGCTTAAAGGCAATAAAACCGTTTTGAATTTGAATATCACTTTTCTGGCACCAGCCACTGACATCTCGCTAAGATTACAAATACAAAAGAAAGCTAATGGTTAGAAACCATGGTTGTTTGACGTCACAATCGATGCTTGCAAGTTTGTTCGAAATAGGAACAATCCATTTGCTAAAATAATTTGGAACCTTTATAGGAATTATTCCACGATCAACCATACCTGTCCCTACGTGGTAAGTCGAAGCATAACATTTCCACTATTACCAAATCTGTACTACTACTCTGTATTTGATTTTGAAGGGCTTGCAAAGGGTGAAGGATTTCCATCTGACACCAGAAAGGGTACCGATTCCATTCCCAACGGGAGAATATCTACTTTTGATGGCTTGGACTCTGAACCAGGAAGTGACTTTTGTTACAAACGTTTATTTCACATACTGGGAGGACTTCTAGGGCAGTGAGCTTGACTTCAACAATATACTTATCTATAACACGTTCCGCTTTAAATTTGCACAGTTATGTTTACTTTTCTGTTAATATTTAAATATGAAGCATAACCTTTATCGAAGAAGTAAATGAAGCTACACGCTCAATGCAAAATTGGTTCGGACAATTATCTACTCTTGTTCATATTTTATCCAAATCGGTCAATTCTATGAAAAGTTATGAGCGAAACAATTTCACTCCAGTACTACGCCCACAAACCGCAGCATCAAGTTCGCTCTTCTTCTTCGTTTTGCTTTTGGTAGGGGCGCATATTAGTCAGAGTCGGAAGTTAGTCTTCCGGGTCC